CTGTCCCAGGCGACGGCGACCCGCGGCCGCACCTAAGATGGCGGAGGCCGCGCTCGCCCTGCGGAATGGCGCCGCCGGGGCGCGGCTTCCGCCGCGGTCGTCGGGGTTTTGCTCTCGACCGGGCGGTCGAGAGGGGAGAAGAGGCACGGCGCAGTGTTAGCGCCGGTTCTAATATTTATCTTTGGATGTGAAGCGAAGGGTCTTTGGCGGGACCCGGCGGGACCCACGGGCTGGTGGGATCCTGCCCGCCGCGGGCGCTGGCGGCGGGGACGGCCTTTAGAGACTCCCCCCGAGCCGAAGCCCCGCTCCTGGAGTTTGCTAAACAGAAAAGGGTCCCAAAGAGTCAAGCCCTGCGACAGGGCTTGGCGGAGTGACAGGTGCTTTTTCCAGAGACGGGTCTAGGGTTTGGGTGGCTCTAGAGATGGTGACGGCCTCTTTGTTTGAGACCGGGCTCAAAGGGTGTAACGGGTAGCGATGTTAAAAGTCAAAGTATTTTCCTTTGTAGACAGAAGTTGTAAGGTGTACCCTTTTTTGTTTGTTTGGTTGGTTGGTTGGTTTTGTTGTTGTTGTTTTCCGAGACAGGGTTTCTCCGTGTAGTTTTGGTGCCTGCCCTGGATCACGCTCTGTAGACCAGGCTGGCCTCGAACTCACAGAGATCCTCCTGCCTCTGCTGGGATCAAAGGCGTGTGCCACGGTCGCCCGGCGTAAAATGTACTCTTGAGGGGCATTGTTGACCTTTAGCAAAGGGGAGGGGATCGGAGCGCCCTAAGAGTATGAATCATTCCCCCCTTCTTAAGTAAACAATTTTCTGGCCTTCATCATCATGATGGACTGCCCCGTAAGCAAATTGGCTTTGTTAGTGATGCGTGAAGTTCGCTGACTCAGCGTAAAAGGCCAGCCAGATTGGCATACACCCATAATGAGCCATTTTTCTTTTCAGGCTTTTCCTTCTGTCGCCGTATTTTTTATTGAGTAGTAACAAACACATTGTAATATCTGAACAGATAAAAAATTAATTAGGGTTAGTTGCGGCTGTGTTATAGGGGAGACTTGTTCCTGGGGGAAAATGAATCATGTCGCGAACCTGTAATTTGTACTTCTGGAAAGATGGTGGTAAAATTTTGCCTAAGCTCTATAGAAATCTCTTTTTCCGCCCGGCGGTGGTGGCGCACACCTTTAATCCCAGGACTTGGAAGGCAGAGCCAGGTGGATCTCTGAGTTCGAGGCCAGCCTGGGCTACCAAGTGAGTCCCAGGAAAGGCGCAAAGCTACACAGAGAAACCCTGTCTTGAAAAACCAAAAACAAAAAACAAAAAAAAAATCTCTTTCCACTTTTATAAATTTGGGCATGGTGAGAATAAGGGAAAAAATGTGGGAATAAAATTCAGACTCCAGCGTCTGAAACAATGCAATAATTTTTATGATTTCAGATAATTGTAAACAATTTCAGAATTTAGATTTAAAAGAAAAGGTCAGTGCTGGACACAATATGCCTTTAATCCCGGTACTCTCTGGAGACAGAGGCAGGCAGGTCTCTTGAGGTCAACACCAGCCTGGTCTACATATTTCCAGTACAGCTTGAGCTACATAGTGAGACCATTCCGGGAAGAAAAGAAAAAAGAATCAGAACTATTGTGAATTTGCAAAGAAAGCTTTTGCTACACATCCCAGAAATCCAATTTACCTGGGAAAATTTGTCTTTTGTATAGATGAGACATTTAAAGAGACCTTACTGCCCTGACTGGGACGAAAGAGATTGGGATTATGGGACGTGGAGGAACAGCGGCAGTCACAGAAGAAAGAAGAGATCATACAGCCCTGCTCGAGAGCATAAGCGATGCAAATACGATCACTCTAAAACAACTGATGGGTAAGCAGAGTACTGACGGCTGTAGTGGAAGACGTTGGGGTCTCAGCCCTTAAGACCCCACCCACCCCCACCCCCGGGACCTTATGCCCTCTCTAGCACTCACGGGTACCACCCACACAGACAGGCACATGCACATAATTAAAAATGCATCTTTATAAGGCACATAAAACAAAGTATAAAAAATTCTTTTTTCAGCCAAGCAGTGGTGGTGCACACCTTTAATCCCAGAGGCAGAAGCAGGCAGATCTCTGAGTTCAAGGCCATTTTTGGCCTGGGAATGTAGTTCAGATGTCCAATGTTTGTTTGCCTGCCGTGCATAAAGCCTTGAGGGTCATGTAAGTGATATCACTTAATTGCATAATGCAGAGATTAGCAAAGGACAGTAGTTCAGTGGTGAGACACTTAACTCCCTACACTGCAGAGAACTTGGGGATTCCGTGTGGGCTTTTGTTCTGGTGTATCAAACAAACTTCTCTCTTACAGCTATTATCTGGACAGCAGATCCATACGTGAGAAAGAGTACCATAGTCGACGCTACATTGATGAGTACAGGAATGACTACATGGGGTGTGAGCCAGCCTATTACTATGGAGACCATGAAAGCCGATATCAGGATCACAGTAGCAAGTCCTCTGGGAGAAGTGGAGGAAGCAGCTATAAGAGTAAACCCAGGACTCACCACAGCACTTCCCGTCATCGAACTCATGGGGTACGAGCACCTTTTAAATATTTGGAAAGGTTTTATTTCCCGGGGAGAGAACAGGGAGCAAATTTGTGTTTGAGAAAAATTAAGATTAATTATACATCACAACTCCAGCTTCTGGGAGTGTTTCAGTATTTATGCACTGCATAGGAAATTCATGAAAACAATGTATATTTAGTTCTGTAATAATAGACTTATAATAGACTTATTATTAATGACTTCTTAGCTACTGATTGCCATTCTATTACTTTAGTGGAGGGGGTAACTTTAAAAATAGTATATTTTAAAAGATTTTCTTAATGCTATTTTAAGAAGTCTTATTTTGATTAGTTCAGTCAGTTTATCACAAAGAATTAGGAATTAATGTGTGAAGGGTTAGTTAAGACTATTTTAACCTGTTTATGATCTTTTTCTCATTAAACAAACTACAGATTTGAACTTAATGGTTTTGTGTATTAATTTGGAAATCATATCAGATGACATTTTAAATGCTGTGATGTTATATACCAAATTTTTTCCTCCCAAAATTAGGACTATGGTTTTACTGTTTTAATACCTATTTTCTTAGTGAGGGAATCTTAATTTGGCCACAGTGTACTACAAATAAATACTACATCCTACAGTTTTGTAGCATTAAATTAGGACACTAGAAACTTAAAATTATGTTTCAGTGAATGCTACAGATAAGAAATTTTTTTTTTATTTAAGAAAAACAATTGTGTTTGTGTTTTGTTGCCTTACCATTTTGAGTATCTTATCTGAAAATCTGTTCCTTGCCATGTTTTTCTCCTGTTAACATAAACTATGTGCCCTGTGCATTTCTGGGGACTGAATTTGAAATTGCTCCTGCCAACCGTTTGTGGCCTGGCGTGTATCTGAATGCCTGAATATCTCCCCGCTGAATGAATTTCGTATTCTGCCCTGAATTCACTCGGGTATATTGATTGGCTGGATGATCTTGGTGCCGCCCACTTGACGTTTCCAGAAGAGTCACCGAAGGAAAAGAACCAGGAGTGTAGAGGATGATGAGGAGGGTCACCTGATCTGTCAGAGTGGAGACGTACTAAGTGCAAGATGTATAGAATATTTTTCAACACTTATTAACTTTTCAGATAACATAATCTATATGTATATATAGATTAAGATTTCAGGGATTTGGAAATCTTTTTTTCTTTCTGTTTTTGTTTTGTTTCATTTCTTTTGGTGGGAGGGGATTATGTCTTTGCTTTCTTTAGAGTTTTAATATTTGTTGTACAGAAATTTCAGAACAGTAAATCAAATTAATGAAATTAGCCTGAGAATGAAATCATTCTAAGAATAGTTGTATGCTTTTGGATGGTGTTGGCTGGATAAGTAATTAATGATGAGGAAATGCATAGCATCACCTAGAATAATCTGCATTGATAGCCTTTAAGTTCATTGTTTCCACTTCTTGTTAGTGAAATTTGTTTTCTCTTTTTTAGATGAAATTGTTAATACCTTAGGTGAAGGTGCTTTTGGAAAAGTAGTGGAGTGCATCGATCATAAAATGTAAGTTTCAAGATTACATTTTACTTTTGAGTTCTTCTGTAGAGAAAATTAGTTTAGCTGATATCCAGATAGCCTTTTGGCTTGGGTCTTTTAACTTGGGGTATAACACATTCATAGGTAAAGGTACCTTGTTTATTTGGTGGAGACAGGGTCTTAGTGTGCAGGCCTGGAACTCGCCAGTGCTGGGATCAAAAGGTGTATACCGTTTTAAACAAAACTAAATGTATTTGCAGCTCCTGACCAGGGCAGAAGGAGGGGGATAGAAAGATGAGTTTAATTCCCAGCAGCAAAGGGTATAAGGAGGCTTGGTTTTGCTTTAAAGAAAGTCGTGATAACTTGTGATGTCACAGTCAGGCCCGATGATTGTTCTTCTCTTCTAGATGGGTGTCAAAGGTGGAATTGTATCCACCAAATCCTTAACCCATGCCCATGTTGGTAATCAGACCCAGGGATTCCATGTGCTAAAGATGTTTCACATTTTTATTTTTAATCGTATGAGTGCAGGGCCGAAGAGGGTGTCCATGCCGTGTATGTGGTTGTGAGCTCCTCAGTGTGGGGAATTGGGAATTGAACTCTGGACTTCTGTAAAGTGGCACACATGCTGTTAACTGCTGAGCCATCCTCCTGCCCCCATCTAATATGTTTTAAAGAGGGAATTCTTTATTCTTTTTTTTTCCCTTCTGAATAAATGAAACTTGTGTGTTTCATCCTGGGGATAAGATACGGGCCCTTCCTTGATGATACAAAACAATCATCTTTATCAGTTAGCTATAGGTTTCCTGCCCCAGGAATCACAGATACTTTTCTAAATGAGTTGAGTTGGAAGAGGCCGTAAGGTTCTGAGACTTTGCACCAACTGTTTTTTTTTTTTTTTTTTTTTTTTTAAGATTTATTTATTGTGTATGCAGTGTTCTGTCTGCATGCCAGAAGAGGGCACCAGATCTCATAGATGGTTGTGAGCCACTATGTGGTTGCTGGGAATTGAACTCAGGACCCCTGGAAGAGCAGTCAGTGCTCTTAACCTGAGTCATCTCTCTAGCCCCTACATCAACTTTTCTGATACTCTGGAGGATAGTACTTGATAGTGGTTGGGCACTGTAGAAAAAACCTACCTAACTCTATAGTTTTGAGTCTTAGAAGGCAGATTGAGGTAGTGTTCTCTCAATATAGTATTAACATAGACTGTTTATATTCTTTATTTGAAAGAACAAAGGATAACTCATGAGTAGTTTGTATGGTTAAAGTCTTTTATCTAGTAAATGGTAGAATGACTGGCTCTATTACAGTGAAAGGTTATTTGTGCTGCTTAATGCTGAACTGCAGTGCCTTTTTTCTTTGCTATTTGAAACAGGGTAGCTGTGGCTGTCCTGGAACTCACTCTGTAGACCAGGCTGGCCTCAAACTCAGAGATCCTCCTGCCTCTGCCTCCAAAGTGTTGGGATTAAAGGCATGTGACACTATGCCCATCTTAGATTATCATCTTTTTAACTTGGATTTATTCTCTCTAACAGGGGAGGTAGACATGTAGCAGTTAAAATAGTTAAAAATGTGGATAGATACTGTGAAGCTGCTCGATCAGAAATACAAGTTCTGGAACACTTAAATACAACAGATCCCCACAGTACTTTGTAAGTATCAGATTAAAACTTGGGAAATAGTTTAAGATAGAGTTGAATTGTAAACTTTATTGAGTTATTTTGATGTGTTTATAGCCGCTGTGTCCAGATGTTGGAGTGGTTTGAGCATCGTGGTCACATTTGCATTGTGTTTGAACTTCTGGGTCTGAGCACTTACGACTTCATTAAGGAGAATGGCTTTCTGCCATTTCGGATGGACCATATTAGGAAGATGGCTTATCAGATCTGCAGATCTGTAAACTGTAAGTTCTTGCATGCCTTCCAAAATTTGAGTGAGACTAATGTCAGACTAATTTGGATCTTTAAAAAGAGAACCTAGTGGGGTTGGGGGTGTAGTTCAGTAACAGAAATGAGGCCTTCTGTTGTGTCTTCATCACCACAGAAAACTGAAGATGAGATCCAATGTGGGGTTTAAAAGCCAGGCCTGAGAGTAGAGAGATTGGGGTCATGGTGGTTAAAAGACAGAAAGCTTGTTAAGAATCTGTTCAAGGGCTGGAGAGGTGGCACAGAGGTCCTGAGTTCATCTCCCAGCAACCGCACGGTGGCTCACCATCATCTTAATGAGGTCTAGTGCCCTCTTCTGGCCTGCAGGTCTATATGCAGGCAGAACACTGTATATGTAATAAAAAATAAAAATAAGGAAATTTAAAAAAATGTTACCTTCCAGAAGAATCTATGAATTGTGGAGATTGAATGTTCATACACTAAAAAAAAAATCTGTTCAAAGAAGCCTAGTAGTGGTGGCGCACGCCTTTTTAATACCAATGCTCGAGAGGCAGAGGCAGGCAGATCTCCTGAGTTTGAGGCCAGTCTGGTCTACAGAGCATGTTCCAGGACAGCTAGAGCTACCCAGAATTCCTGTTTAAAACAAAGTTGAAAAGATTTAATGTACATCTTGATGGCTGTATAGTTATTAGTACCTTGCACAGTTTGGGGTGTGACTTAGGCACATAACCTTAGGTTCATTCTCCACAGGAGAGAAATGATTAAGTGTGAAATAAGATTTCCTTGATAATAAGTTGTTGGTCTAGTGTTTAATTCATAATGTGGTAAGTTGGCGCAGTGCCTGCTTACCATGTACAAAGCCTTACTCCTGAGCATGCCTGTTTTTAGACAGCTTCTCACTACATAGACCTGGCTGGCCTGGAGTAGGATTTGTAAACCAGCCTGGTTTTGAACTTCCTGTTGCCTTTGTCCTGGCAACCCACTGACCTTTTTCTCCCAAGTGCTGAGGTTACAGATGGCAGCCGTCATTGCCAGCTGACTGCTTGTTCCTTAGAGGTATAGTCTCACTGTAGTGCAGGCTAGCCTTGCCCTCTGTCCTAGTACTAAGATTGTGGGAATGGACTACCACCACATCCAGCGTCACTGGAGTTGGGGGATGGAGTATTTCAATCCCTGGTGATTTGAGAGGGGCCCATTGTAGAACCTCAGACTGGCCTCAGCTCTCACTATCCTGCCCTAGAATGAACTACCTGGGTGCTGTGGATAGATGGCTGTGCAGCTGAAATAGTTTGTTAGCAGGAATGTCTTTCCCATGCCTCTGGTCATTTTTTTTCTAGACCGAGATTATTATAGTATATAGAAAGACACCAAAGGTTTGGGGATTAGATTTTTGTCTTTTAATTTTGTTATTTTCATGTGTACATAACACACACATGACTGCAGGTAATCACAGTCCTAGGGTTTCAGATCCCCCTGGAGTTGGGGACAGGTGGTTGTAAGCTGAGAATTGAACCCAGGTCTTGAGGTTCATCAGTACAAGTACATGCTCCTTTTTTTTCTTTTTTGGTTTTTCGAGACAGGGGTTTCTCTGTGTAGCTTTGCGCCTTTCCTGGAACTCACTTGATAGCCCAGGCTGGCCTCGAACTCAGAGATCCGCCTGGCTCTGCCTCCCGAGTGCTGGGATTAAAGGCGTGCGCCACCACCACCCAGCCTAAGTACATGCTCTTAACCACTGACCAATCTCATCAGACTGCCAGGTAGGATGGTGTACATCTTTAATCACAGCACTCAAGAAGCAGACAGGCGAATCTCTGAGGTCAAGGCCAGACTGGTCTACAAAGTGAGTTTTTGGAAAGCCAGGGCTCTGTAGAGAGACCCTGTCACAAACAAAAATGACAAAGTGTCTTTAAGTACACTACCTAGACTCGGGACTTTCGTGCCCTCAACTTCTTGAGTGCTGAGTATAGGTGGCATGAGGCTTATGTTCTTGTTTGGATCTTTGAGACTAGTAACTTCTTGTACTTCTTTACAGTTTTGATCTTTGAGACTATAGTAACTTTATACTTCTTTACAGTTTTGATCTTTGAGACTATAGTAACTTTTTGTACTTCTTTACAGTTTTGCACAGTAATAAACTGACTCACACAGACTTAAAGCCCGAAAACATCTTATTTGTGCAGTCTGACTACACAGAGGTTTATAATCCTAAAATGGTAAGTCCTTGTAACACCATCAGGGTGCTTGTAAATCCTTGGTTTCAATAGTTTGCCTTTATAACTTGTCACTTATGATTTTCAGAAACGTGATGAACGAACCTTAATAAATCCAGATATTAAAGTTGTGGACTTTGGAAGTGCAACATACGATGATGAGCATCACAGTACACTGGTGTCTACAAGACATTATAGAGCTCCTGAAGTTATTTTAGGTCAGTACTGCTTATGCTTTAACAGCCCACATCACTTTACTGTAGTGTTGGGTTTTTATGACTGTTCGTTGATCATTTTCTCATTACATAATACTCCAGACTAGGGAATGTAACTCGGGTACAACTCTTGTCTAACCTCCCAAGGCCCTTAGCCCAATTCCCACAGTTATCAAAAAAAGAAAAAAAATACAGTATTAGAAATTATGTTAAGTTTCTCCAAATTGCTGGCATGGTAGCACTTGCCTTTGATCAGAGCCTGATCTCTTGAGTTAGAAGCCAGCCTGGGCCACATACTGAGATCCTGTTTCAAAAACAAAAACCTTGAAGTTTCAACCATCTGTGGAGCTAGCAAGTTACTTAGCCTGTAAAAATGAGCTTGTCAGGTGTTGTTGACTGTGCATCTTAGAATCTGCTCAGACCAGGGGTGGTATGTCTTGGATCCCAGCTCCTGGGGCTGAGTCAGGAAGTCCTTATGCTCAAGACTAACCTGAGCTGCTATCCAGAGTCTGACCGTGCACCAGAATAGGTCAGGGAGGCCGGTATAGTCTAATAATGCTCCAGGCTACTGTGAACAAGTCAGAATACAAGATTAAACCTTATACGTTGAGGGCAGGGCATTATCACTAAATTCAGAACCTGATAGTTTTGCTAGTATAACTTTTAATTTATGGTAAAATGTCTTTCAGAAATATTGAGGTTTCTCCCCTAACATTGTGCTTTGTTTTGCAGCCCTAGGGTGGTCTCAGCCATGTGATGTCTGGAGTATAGGATGTATTCTTATTGAGTATTATCTCGGATTCACAGTTTTTCCAGTAAGTGACAATGGTGTTTAGTGGCTTTGCATTTAAAAAGTGCCTGTTCGTGCCGGGCGGTGGTGGCGCACGCCTTTAATCCCAGCACTCGGAGGCAGAGGCAGGTGGATCTCTGAGTTCGAGGCCAGCCTGGTCTCCAAAGTGAGTTCCAGGAAAGGCGCAAAGCTACACAGAGAAACCTTGTCTCAAAAACAAAACAAAACAAAACAAAACAAAAACAAAACAAAAAAAAGTGCCTGTTTGTGTAAAATAACTCCTTTAATTCAAACAATACATTTACACAATAGATTTTTTTTTTCCCCTGTTACTTATAAAGCCCAAAATTCAAAATTGTGTGATTTGTCTTAGGTAGTTTTACAGATATTCAAAACAGTTGTCACCAGGCGTTTAGGGAAGGCCTCTGGCAAGCTTCAGGCTGTGACACTGTTTTGGAGTCTGCCATTTTGATGACTTGTGAACAGCGGGGGCTGGAGAACCAGTGCTGGGTTGTGGAGTGGGCTGGTTCAGAAAGACCTGGTTAACAGGGGTTTTCATTTCAGACTCACGACAGCAGAGAACACTTAGCGATGATGGAAAGGATTCTTGGACCACTACCAAAGCACATGATACAGAAAACCAGGTATGTTTTACTTGAGTCACACCATCTTTAGTACACTGGATTCTGATCAGAACTATAAAACAAATCTAACTCTTTTTTCAGGTAAATAGCGTATTATATTATTGATAGTGAATAATTTAGTACTTCTGTTGTTTGGCTATATCTTAAATCTCTAGAAAAAGATTTAACCTTGAAAAATACAGTAGTTGATGCAACTGTTCATCTGTGCTGGGTATTTTAAGCTTGCAGATGTCAAATGGTAACTGAATGTTTAACTGTTGTAGGAAACGTAAATATTTCCATCATGATAGATTGGATTGGGATGAACACAGCTCTGCTGGCAGATATGTTTCACGGCGCTGTAAGCCTCTGAAGGTAAGCTTGGGTGGTCTTAAATATAACCAGGACTTGCATGTTCCCACTTCCCCACTTTGGGGTGTAGAGATTAAACCCAGGCTCTCATAGTCTACTGTGACCCTCTGGTCTGTTTCTAGTTTTGAGTTTTGCTTTTTGAGACAGGGTCTTGAGATTGTATTACTATGTAGTATGTAGTTCAGGCTAGCCTCAGAAATTTCCATCAGCCTCCCAGTGTTAGGATTACAGGTGTGCACTGCTGTAGCTGGCTTATCCCCCTCATCCTCCTTCCCTCTAGAAACATGTTAACAATGGTTTAGAAAAGGAGGCCTAGTAACCTGGCATCCCACGATTTTGAAGAGTTTCTTTTCTGTTTATGCACAGCAGTTAAGAATGTTTTTCTGTTTCAGGAGTTTATGCTGTCTCAGGATGCTGAACATGAGCTTCTGTTTGACCTCATTGGAAAAATGTTGGAGTATGATCCAGCCAAAAGAATTACTCTCAGAGAAGCCTTAAAGCATCCTTTCTTTTACCCGCTTAAGAAACACACATAGATTGTAAATACTTACAGTGCTCTGAAAGATTACAGACTGCATCAGTCTAGTTTTAAATACTAAGTTATTTTGTATATAGCTTTGTACATTTATGTTTTTTTTATTGTTTACATGATTTATTAAATACATGGCCAAGCCAAATAAGCATTTCAGTAATTAAAAATGATTAATTTGGAATAAACTTTGTGCTTATGAATTTATAAGAGTCTGTACAGTTTGATGTATTGTCAGTAGTCGTTTTGTTTCGATATATGTTGTCCTGTTCCCATCGCTTCCCCCCCCCCCAACCAACCCACACACACACACACACACACACACACACACACACACGTATATTCTGGGTAGTCCTGGCTGTACTGGATCCCTCTGTAGAGCAGGCTGGCTTCAAACTCAGATCCACCTGCCTCCTGAGTGCTGAGCTTAAAGGTGTGCGCCACCACTGCCAGGCCTCTTTCTGCAGTGTTTTCACTACATGTATGCCTACACGTGTGTACAAGCCAGAAAACAACGTTACAGATTAACTTGCTTTGTGGGTGCTGGAAATCAAACCTGGGTCCTTTAGAAAGAAGAGGAGAGGAGCCCATGCTCTCCGTTGAATCTTCTCTCCAGCCCCAATCTTGTTTACATTTTTAAGGGATTAAAAAGTGAGTGGTATTGGGTCATCTTTAGGTTAATGTATAAAGCCCAACTAAAGATTAGCCAAGGTTTTGTATTTTTCTTTAAGATTTATTTGCCGGGTGGTGGTGGTGCACGCCTTTAATCCTAGCACTCGGGAGGCAGTCAGGTGGATCTCTGAGTTCGAGGCCAGCCTGGTCTACAGAACGAGTTTCAGGAAAGGCGCAAAGCTACACAGAGAAACCCTGTCTCAAAAAACCAACCTCCTTGCCTTGAGGTTGGGGAAGCAGTTCAGTAGGCAAGAGCACTTGTGCAAGCAGGAGGCCAAGGATCTGAGTTCAAATGCTCAGTGCATGTGTTGGGTACCCAGGCATGGTCTTGGGTGGTGCAAATTTTCCTGAGAGCCCTGAAGAAACCTACCTCTTGAGAAGTTTGTGGAGATCCTGCTTCAAGGTAGTAAGGCAGAACCGGATAGAGCAAGACACCCCACAGCTTGTTTTGACCTCTGCCTGAGTGCATGCACACGAACCATACACCACCAAAATCCTAGTTTCCTAGGCACATTAGGAACATCACTCCTATGGTTTTTATCGATAAATCAAGATCACAATATGTATTGTTAGATATATAAAAAAAGTTTAAACAGTGGCTTACAATCCACATTGGAAAGGGTTCCCATATTCTGACTGACATTTTGTGATAGAGTTCCTAGTGTCTAATAAAATTTTGGTTGTGGATGTTTTTGCAGGGTCAAGTGAGTGACCTGGGGTCTTACCTATGCTAAACACTCAATGATGAACTACACTTCAACCTTAAAGAGTCTTAAATTGGTTTTTTAAAAAAAGTATACTCAAGAGGCTGGAGAGATGGCTCAGTGGTTAAGAGCACTGCCTGCTCTTCCAGAGGACCTGGGTTCCCAGCACCAACATGAAGGCTCAGAATGGTAAAAAGTAAATTACATTGGAGGTCAGGTATAGTGTATGTTGTTAATCCCCGCACTTGAGAGGCAAGGGCATGTGGATCTCTTAGGATCCAGGCCAACCTTGTCTACACAGGCAGTTGCAGGCCAGCAGGGACTGACCTGTCTCAAAATTCAACAGCCAGGTGGCCTAGTAAAGTTCAAGCCCAGCAGCAGTATGGTAGGAGAGAACCGACCTTCTCGAGTGTGAGCATGAGTGCAGGCACGACATGCTCAAACACGCAGTGTAAAACAGAAAGCCAGGGAGCCAGCTCTGGGAAAGTCTCAGAAGAGATCGAGCCTGTCGGTTTTAATGCGGTGCTTTTACTCTGCGAGGAAAAGTCACAAGGCACGACAAAACTCACTATCAAAGCAGAGTTTTATTAGGAGAAGAGGGACAGAAGCGAGCCTGACCAGGCCTGCAGAGAGAAGGCGGGGAGGAGAAGAGAGGAGGGGTCTGTGTCCCGCCTCTTGTGGATTCCCCTGCACATTACGTAGGATGTAAGGCCCCCCCATGCTTGGCTACTGAACTGCGCATGTGCGGTCCTGTAACTGGAGGAGTGGCCAGGAATCCCAACATTCCACACTCTTTTCTTATTATAAAAAGGTGGGTGAACAGGAATGGGGGAGCTGTCTCCCAAAACTGCTTCCAGCTGACTCCGTGGGTGTCAGCTAACTCTTGGGGGTAGGAAAGGGGGCTTCTGAGGTGGCCAGGCATCCTGGGATGGTGGGCTGTTGTCCGCTGCCTTGGAGCTGTCCATCTTCCTTGGCTTGGGACTCTGGCTGCTTGAGTCTGAGTGCTGGTGAGACAGAGAAAAGCTTAGAAAAAGAAGTATATACTTTTTCCTTTGGGGGGGGAGTTCCGGGTTGAGGGAGGGGGTCCTGGGACCAGGAAAGTTTGGGCTGTACTTATCTGAAGCAGATCCGACCTGTCCAGATGGATTCAAGTTGATTCCGGAGCTTGGAAGAATTTTTAAACATATTAAGAAGCAGCCATAGGAAATTTAAAATCTTGAGCTTTGGACCGTTACTGTTCCTCACCGCCTGGGTGTACTTGATGGTATATGGTGATCCTGTGACAATTAGCTGAGTAGTTAATTAGAAGAGGGAAGAGAAGCCGGGCAGTGGTGGCGCACACCTTTAATCCCAGCACTCAGGAG